AAACATGCACACACACACACACACACACATCTCCAATAAATGTTACCTTTAAGTGCTTACAAGCTTTTGAGACCTACTGGAATCTTAGTCCGTCTCTTGTTTGAAAAAGCTTTCAGATCACTGACTGGTTTTCAGGCTGCCACTGCTTTAAATTTCAACAAATATTTTAATGAGATTTAAATCTGGAGACTGAACAGGCCTCTGACTGAAGCTTGATGATCACTGGATTTTCCAGCAGGACAAAATAGCCTGATACTTCAAAGAATCCATGATGTCCACTTCCTACAGCAGCAAAGAACCCCCACAACAAGACTGGTCCACCTCCATGTTTGACTGTGAGGATGGTGTTGTTTTGCTCATAAGCCTTGCCTTTTTTTTTCTTCAATGCCCTCAAAGGTTCTCGGGTACAACATAAGGCTGCCATTTGTGTCTAGGAACTTTTAATGTCTCAGAAATCTTCATGTAACCTTTGACTTTCTAACTATTTCTTCTTTATAGCGTTTGTGAGAGCTCTTTTGACTTGGCCAAATTTGCTGTTCAACATTAGCATATTCATGGGCTAAATGTATGATATGTGTAACATCTAAAGCTAATTCAGTTTTGTTATAAAGTTTCTAAAGGTTCAGTGAACCATAAACAACTATTGCACATGCACCTGTGGAACAGTCCTTAAGACAGTTACGGTTTACAGGTGGCATGTAATAAAAATATTTATATTATATTTAATAAATATTATAATATTTTGGCAGGCCCACACTAGAGAAATATGCAGAAAGATTTCCATAGAATTCAAACCTCTGAGATCAAAAGTTCATTCTCCTCTCAAGAGTACATTGTACATTGTGCATATGCAAATAGCATAACTTGGTGAGGTAGTTATATTTCTGTGTAGACGTCTGCTTCACTCATTGACTTTGTTAAGGCCTCTAAAGATTTTCATCAAGCCATTCACTTGCATTTTACAGGAACTGATTCTGACAGAAGCCTCCTACTTCTGCTTTTCTCTCTGATGCCCAGAGTGGGTTGCTTTATTTGTGTGGGTCAGTATGAGGGTGTTGTTTTAAAACAACAGGTTTGCTTGAAGTCAATACATGCAAGACTTTTACAGACCAACAAGAAACTCGAACAAATGGTGAGATTATCACTCATAAAACGGGACTGATAATCTACCGCTGATAACCCTGTGCTCCTTTTACTGTCTCTGAAACCGTCTGCATTTCTCCATTCTATGATATCTGAGGTTAATTGTTGTATTTAAAATTAAGGGACTTGTCTGGATAACAGCTGCACACATGATGTCTAGCAGTAAATACACAAATGAATTATATTGTGTTTTATAGGTCATAGTCTACGTTCATGGCTGAGAAAGATAAAAAAAATCTCTTTATTCAGATCACTGAAATTGAGAAGTGAAATTTGTCTCACTTTCTACCTGCTTTTTTTTCAATCAAGAATATAATAGGGCCTTACATAAGCATGTTTCCAGCAGACATAATAGGCTGTAAATGCATTCCATGAGTTATGAATAGTTCCCACAAATGTGAAAGATCTGTCATCATTTTTTCACCTTCACATTATTCCAAACCTGTATAGCTTGCTTTCTTCTGTGGAACATTTTGAAATTTTTTTTTCAGTGTTTTTGCTTATACAAATTAAATGAATGAGGCCCAAAACTACACTGGCAAAAAAGAAATAAATAAAATAAAAATAACTTCTTTTGAGGTCATCAGAAGAAAGAAAGTCATGCAGGTTTCTAACAATGTGAATTGACAAGGTGAATTTTCATTTATGGGTAATACTATTACACATAAACTCCACTGGTCAGGTTAGCCTTTGTTAGCATTTTTAAATGAGCAGCACTCTATTAAACAGTCGGTTACACTATGCTGGGAAGGGTGTACAGGTTTAAGCAACACATTCACTGCTTTCCCACAGTTGCGCCATGCTAAGACTGGCAAGGAGAATGAAGCAAGAGCTAAAGGAGCTGATGCTGAGCGGATGAGGAAAGACATGGGGCACTAGAGCTGAACATAGTCAAATGCCTCAAACACTAATAAAGAGCAAGCAGCAAATTGGAGATTGAGCCAAATTATTTAAATGTCTGTTACATGAAAACAAAAAGTCCATGTTGAATTATTTGTGGAAAATGCAAATCCTGGACGTATCAAAATTTGTATAAATCACTTCACAAGAAAACATCTGTGGGGCTGTGAATATAAAATTGAAAAAGATTGCACTGCTTTCATCAAAAAAAGAAAATACATTTTCACATATGCATTTAAACATTTGTGTGCACCTCTTGAAATATAGCATTGGTGAAAATAGACTGCTGAAGTAGCTGCGACACATGCAGTGTGTATTAATATATAAAGAAAACAGCGAAAGTCATCAGTTTTAGCCGGGTGTGCAGGCAGCTGTGTGTCGCACCAGGGCTGCAGTAAGCTCTGTGGTTTGGACAGCTTGAATCATGGTGAAACGAAGCAAATAGAATTCAATTGCAGTTTAAAAACATTGAAACTTTTTTTTTTTTTTTAGAAATACAGCAATGTGCTGAATGCAGGATTCTCAAAAGTGTTTAGTGCATGCTAAACAGAGGAAAGAACGTATTAGCAATTAGTGTTTGTATCTGGAAAGTAATCAGTGTTTTTATATAAAAAGTAATTATACAAAAATGGCTCCTACAATATTCTAAAATTAATGTATAAATAAAAAGTAATGCTACTTTGCAGGAACAAAAATGTCCCAAACAGAAATTCTGTAATCATCACGTTCCAATCCATTTCTTTATCCGTGAAACACAAAGATGAGGGATGATGATTGTAAATACTGAGCTTTAGTACTTCTGAAGTCATATGCTTACTTTGTTTGAAAATCAGACCAGAAATTGATTCATTAAGCATTCTAATCTTGTACTCGCCATTCAAATCTGGTGCACATGCAAGAGCTTCTCTGTGCACGCTCAACACCAAACAAGATGATGGCAGCGGGGAACAAGAAATTGAACACAAACCTGATTGGTTCTTTGGCATCCAGAGCTGATTCCATGAATTTTAATGTTTGAAAGTGAATGAGAGAAAAACTGTGTTAAACAAAAATAAATTATTAAGCTTAAAGTTATATGTTTCATCGTCCCATCAGCATTAATATGCAGTGCTCACTTGGTAACTTTACAATATGGTTCTAGATTATAACATAAGTAATTAGGTATCATTGACCAACAATGACAATTTTTACAGCATTTTATTAATCTAGGTTAATGTTATTCATTCATGTTCTTTTTATAATAAATTAAGTAATATTTATGCAAATGTGTATTAAATGTATTAAATGCTGCATATTTCATGTTGGCCATTGCATACCCAATGTTATGCAGAATCTTATTTTAAAATGTTGCACTCAATTTATTTCATTATTCAATTCAGTTGATCAGTTTATTTGTCAGTAACCTGACAAAGGTTAAATCTTTGACCAAAGACAACAAAGAAACCACTCCTTTTTTGGAGGCATAATATGTGCAGTCATTATACTATGTGCAAGTGTCTGTGTGATAACAGCATATCAGTAGTAATCTTATAGGTCACCACAAGAAAGTTGACAGGATGATCATGTTTGCATCTACTGTAGACGATGATTAGCAGTAATGTCTCAATTTTTAAAGACACTAAATATATACACTCTAAATTTAGAGGCACAAGTTATGGCAAAACATATAACTGGATAGTTCATATTACAAATTGATTAATCAGTTCGTTATGAGCAGTTATATCATTTATTTTCTAATAATTGTGTATAAATTGATCACCTTGAAACAGTATGAAGCTTTTTTCCTCTTTTTTTTCTTTTCTGATGACAAGCTACAGTACCACAGTTTTATTGTAGTAACAGTAACTGTTAATTATATGGGGCTACATGCAAACATGATCATACCGTGTTAAATGAATAATACAGAAATACTATTGTACATAAACTCAAAGGTAATCACTTAGGGTAATTTGTATCATGTGATTTGCCTGACTATTGTTTGTGCTTTTTATATCTAAAGGCTCCAAAACTATCTTTTGCAGTTAAAAAATATCCCATATATAGAATGAAGAAGCATGCATACAAACACTCACAGAGATAAATGCAAAAAAGTACAATCTTTTGTTATATATAAAATTTTTATCTTTATCTACATGCTGCAGCTTAACTTTGTGATAAGTTAGACATGTGGTATAGTAGATGAGGACACTAAATGGCGTTTCATACAATGTACTGTATTTAGATCACTGAACATTTTGGATTTTTTTCAAAGCATTCACTGTAGACTCGGTAAACTGTCTATGTATGCAACTTTCTCTTCTGTAAGTGATTTTTACGATATTGTTAATTCTATGACCAGAAGAAAGGCAGACAGAAGGTCTGAGACAGGTGGAACATTTGATAAAGATAGAAGCATGTTTCATCATTGTCATTCAGGATGTTGTATCTCCTCTCCCAGCATGTACTGATGCAGATAGGAAATGCAACATGATCAGCCATCTTATCTGTTAGTAGGTGCTCTGTCTGCAACCATGATGAGGCTGAAGCACAGACTCCAAGATGTGAACGTTAGACCAACTAGAAGTTTTCTCTGATATATTTATGGATCAGTTATCTGATACATTTTTAAAGGGTATGTGATATATTTGTCAGATTTATTTTATTCACTCATGGATTTATCTCTTTAATTACCAGACCAAAATCTGTTCTCTAAAAAATTTGAAGCATTTTTAATAGCAAAAAGTCTGGAAAGTTTTTACATAAAACTTTACATTTCTGAAAATGGCACCAAATTTGTGTATTTTCATCCTGCATTAAGTACTTTCTATAGAACAACAAGCACCATGGAGGTGGACAGGAAGAAGAGCGGTCAGCTGAGCTGTCTCTGATTGGCCACTGGGGGAGTTGACACTTCACGCCTATTCTAACTGCAAAGATAAAATCCCCACCTGCCATTACCCTAAAATCAGGAACCTCCAGCGAATACACACACACTTACTCACACACCCCAAAAATAAAGAAGTAACAAACAGAAACTCTGTCCCTTTTCTACGGCCACTGCCAGGGTGGGTTGCCCTCTGCAGTGTATCTCTGGTTGGCTTCTTTTTTGGGCCTTTGGATACCTTTGAGGCCCCCCGCGTGATAAGGTGCGTGTGTTAGATCATTGGTTTCATTTGGTAAGAGGAAATTTAGCAGAGTTGAGCAATGGTACGGGGACAGTTTTGAAAGCCCTTGAGAAAGCATCAGAGTTGCAGATCGAAGTGTCAGGCGGCGAGGAACCCATGCTGCATCCGTACAGAATGGAGGGGTACATCATCACACCCGTGAGTATTTTTTTATTCACTAAATGGTCCTAATATGATGCCGCTGCATTTAATAGATGCATACATGTACACAATGCACTTTTTGTTATATTGCTGTCAGTGTGTCAAACGGCATTACGAGGACTTGCCATTGTGGACGTATTAGTTACCGTAAGAACAGCTGGATCTTTTATATCTTTTGGATGATTTGTACATTTTTTGTGTATGTATTTATTTATATATATATATTTTTGAAATGTAAAACAGTTAGTGGCAAGGTGCATACGTGCTTGTGCCAACCACTTCAGAACGACAGTCTATTGATATTCAGCTACTTGTGTTGGTTTTAAACATCTTTATTTATGTGTAGTGGATCAATTAGAGACCGTTTGACAGTTTAGTTAATTCATATGGGTTTGGATATTATACAGAATATTAATGAATATATGTCTGTAATTATAGCTAACATGTAGTGGTATGTTTGTTGTAACAGGCTATGATTTACATCAGTGTAATGGAAAATAAACTGTTCTCCAAAATGTATAATAATCATAATTTCTACGTAGAAAGAAGAGAGTAGAGAGAGAGTAACCTGGACTGGCTGGATGTCACAGACACCGTCTGTACAAAAAGATTACTGGGCAGTTTTAACCAAAGATGTGAGGCTTTTCTTATATGGTACAGTGTATTATTATTTTGGTGTTGGCTCCAGTCATTCAAACTGGTCATCATTTGTCTCTTATCTATTTGCTTTTCCAGCAAACAGAGGAAATGTTTGAATCAGAGATGTATCGACCACCAATGGAGTATCAGTATGTCATTGACGAGAGTCAGAATGGTGAGTTCCTTGTAATTAAAAATTATAAGATCATCACAAATTAAACAGTGGTGTGTGTGTGTGTGTGTGTGTGTGTGTGTGTGTGTTTTACTCAGGAAAAACTAATGACATTCCACAAACAGCTTCTATTAATTGATAATAAAATAATGCAACACAATTATTATCCATAGTTAGGCTTAGAATATATTAAATTTAAATAAAATAATGGTAATATTTGACTAATATATATACATACAGTACATACATACATCATCAAATATTTGCATTATATATATTTATATATATATATATATATATAAAACTTAATATTATTAATATTTCATATATATATATATATATATATATATATATATATATATAAAAGAAATTAATGGGGTTGATAGCTGTTGTCTCTCAGTCTGCACTCCTGCCCATTCACTTCCCAGTGTCATTATTATAAACAGGTAAGTGATATCAAAATAAAGGTCATCCAGAAATAATTAATCAAACAATAGTCAAAAATTTAAACCCATAAATCAGAGTTTATAAACCAACAATTTACCAATAGATTAATAAACCAAATAATTAATTTAACGTAGGATGAACACATGTATTTAAATGTAACAACTTCAATATTTCTTTAACCACAGAAGTTTTTTTTTTTTTTTTACTTTTTTTCCCCATTCAGCCCCAGTTAAGCAAAGTGCTTTGACTAAATGGCCTGCATTTTTGAAGATGTCTTCTTACATATAATCAGCTTCATAGATATTACTGACCCCCTGCAAAGTGTTATAACACCTAAAGAGGCCCATGTAAACAGCATCTTGTTATATTAAGCTAACGGATCAAAATCACACCCAGGGCAGCTGGGGCTGAACTGTAAGGGGACGTTAGGAGAGCGAGCGAGTGGAACCGGGCGAGTGACCTAGCACAAAGCAGGAAACAGATGCCTCGTTCTGACAGGCAAGAAAACTACAGACGTAGAACGACAAATATCCCCAAGGGTTTTTGTCCAAAATGAGACAATATGGCAATTTAGCTATGTAGGCGTCTGAAATAGTGTGTTAAACAGTAGCAGCGGTTTCTGTCTTTAAGACCGAGGATGGCGATTGCGTTTCGTTACTGTATGAGAGTCATTTTTAAAACAGTTTATGGTGACCTTTGGTTAGACCTTTGTGTTATTTAGTCAGCCCTTTCGTCAGACAGCCATGTGCTGATTTTCGAAGAAGTTAAAGGACAGAGAAACTGAAAACTGTTATGAGATTCGTTATACAGCAGTAAAGAAGTGGCGAATAAATTCTCCTTTTCTTTTTCACAAGACTTGTCAAACTATTCATGTAAAAACTATTTCTGTTCACTGGAGGAATGTACACATATGTTTCTCCAGAAAATGTAATAAATGTAATATACAACTTGACTACAACTTTTATGAACACTAGTGAGATTTAAATGCCATAAAATTAGATTGCTCACAGTGATTATGTGAGGAAAATATTGAAAATGAAAACACTTTTAAGTGACAGGTGCACAAAAACATGCTGTAGATTATTTTCTATGTTTCTATATAAGACTATATAATAATCTAACTGTTACATACAATAGCAAAAAAAAATATATGCTTGAGGCTATTCAAAAACTGCAAAGGAAATGGTGGTGTGAACAGGAAACAGGGTGACACTCAAAGTCCCAGGGCTTACAGTGAGAAAGTAAATGTAATTTCTTGCATGCGATTGAATTGACGGACAGAATAACATGACATGGTTGATTTATTAGTTGTTGGCACCAGCTTACACAGAGAGCATGTGACGTATTGTCATATTTCTTTCGCTTGTTAAAAGATGCTTTCTGCTGACCCTCCGTTTCAACTTCACTGTCCTTGTCTAGATCACGCTTGGGATTATAATACACATCATGTCCATCCAGTGGATTTCGAGAACCTGCCAGAGAGCCACTTCACAGAGCTACAGAGCGTACAGCCACTACATGCATCAAATGTGCATCGCTTCCCAGAAGTTGAGTCGGGCCATTTTATCGACCCAGGCCTGACCGGGCATCACCTCACTCTGCCCCCTCCACAGGTGAGACCTACATTATCTAGAAAACACCTGCTATTAAACATCCACATCACTTTTATGTCTTTCACTTTAATTTTATGTGTGAGAACACCTTCTTATATGTTTTGATGTCTTCACACTAGTTCTGTGTGAGCTCTGGCCACATTATTGGTGATGAAAAGTAACCATTTTGTTGAATATAGTGCAGAAGACATTTGAGAACAGAGCAATCTTGCTTGTATTTCTATAACACTGGGTTTAATAACTTTTGGTTAAGTTTATCTGGTGCTTCGTGACACAAGTGGGTGTTGATGCTGGTTAGGAGGTTGTAGAAAGCATCTGTGCCCAAGCTATTGCTCAACTAAGCCTTATCCTGACCAAAACTCAACACTGTCACCATAACTGCAAGTCTGCACACTCATCAACTGCCGTTACACAGAACATCCCCACTTACACAAACAAAACCACTCTTTATTGTGACACTAACATTCAAGCGCACAAATGTTACAGCTTGAAAACAGTTAGAATAACACTTTACGCAAACACAATAAGACATACATATGATGTTAGCATTTATACAGAAAGCATAATGTAATTCAACCCTTATTAGTTTATTAGCTTGTTTTGGGCAGTTAATTAGAAAATAGCTACATTCTAGAAACCTTCTACTCCGGCTTTGATAAAAAAAAAAAACAATGTCTGTTTGCTTAACCATTTTGTGGTCGTTTTTTCTGATATTTGAACAAAAAGATGTGTATTAACGTGTATATTCTGTGGGTGGAAAATCAGAGAGAACCTCTTGAAAGAGATCATTTAAGATCTTTTTTGCATAATGCAGTGATTGATTTCCCTTCCTTTGGTTGGACTTAACCATAAAGTCTATCGCAAAAGAAAGCTTTTCCTTTGTAGACGTCCTTGTAGGAGGAAGCAGAGATCCGTCCACATCAGACTGATATACTGCCTGTCATACGTGCTCAGTCTCATTGGAAGGTTTGATCGAAACTACAGTAAAAATATTCATATTGTGAAGTAGTATTACAATTTAAAATAACTATTTTATATTTTATATAAAATATTTTTATATTTTTATATATTTTATTATATTTTAAAATAGTATTTATTTTTCAGGAGCCATTACTCCAGTCTTCAGTGTCACATGATCCTTCAGAAATCATTTTAATATGCTGATTTGGAGCTCAAGAAACATTTCTCATTATTATCAAAATTGAAAACAGTTGTGCTGCTTTAAAGTTTTGTGGAAACCATAAAACCGGACGTTTTCCCCCCCTCATAATTCTTTGATGAATAGAACATTTAAATGAAGTATAAATATTTGTAACATTAGAAATGTTTTTATTGTCACTTTTAAACAATTGAATATATCCTTGCTGAATAAAACCATTAGCACAACATAAAAAAATCATAATTTTGAACTGTAGTGTAACATTACCTAACCCAATTTACTTGTCACAAATTTACTTGGCCCTAAATATTGTAAATATTGACTGCAGTAATTTACCATGGTAATCATAGTTTCTGCCATAATAAAAGTTGTTACAGTTATTGTAACTACTAAAATCATTATGAGATCTCCTTTAAACAGTGTAAACGTGTTTTTACATTTTTTTATGATGCGACCACAATTTAATGCTGAGCCACAACAATAGCTGTTATTTTTGGCAGAAACTACAGTTACCATGTTAATTTTTAAAGGGGCTGTTCTGTGAATTCAGCAGCAGTTAATCTGTAGATTAGTATTTTACACCTCAAATGCTAGGCAATGGCAGCTTTTTTCCATTTAAGCCTTGCATGTACAAAATTAACTATTTGAGGAGAGCAATACAGCTTTCTTGGCTGAGCGGATGAGTATCACTCTATCATGCTGAAAAGTGTTAACTGCAAAAATATAAGTAATATATATATATATATATATATATATGTTCTAAAAACAGGCACGTCTTTAAGTGCTTAAATGCACATCAACTACCATCTGACCTCTGAGGCCCTGCACAAAATAAGGGTATAACAAATCCACATAAAAATGTTCCTTATGTTTTTTTGTTTTGTTTTGTTTGAAAATGTCAAAATAGTATGACTGTCGTGTGTTTTTGAGGACATTCTCCTGAAGTCATCAGAGTTTTCAACTGTCTTGTCACAAGAAATTGCTACCCCAGCACTGTGTGCAATCACATGAGACTGCTACGAATCTTGACACTTTGGGTTTTTGTGAGGGCTTTTTACAGTGAAGCGGTTTAACTGAAAAAAGTGAGAAAAAAAATATTTTATTTGTTCTTTCACAACATGTTCGTTCTTCTCTCTCTCTCTCTCTCTATACATACTATACATCCATACTGTTTTATAGATGCCCTTGCTGTAACGCAAAATATTCTGCAGCTTGAAGTTTCACTGCACTGTTATATTGGCAATATATAAAATGTAAAGTTCCTCTTTCTTAATGTTGAACTATGTTTAAATCTCCAGATGACACATTTCAGACCACCTGATTGAACAGACATGGTTGTATAGCTCTCATACTATTTGTGCATCAACTGAACATGTGACTTTATCAAGAATTCCACCCTTTAAAATAAGGATTCTTAAATGGTTCTCAAGAAATACTTACTATATAGAGTTTACGTGTTAGCTATATTCTTCTAGAGAAAAGTTCTTTACTACATAAATACACAAGTCTGTAAACTTGTCGGATATGGAAACATCTGTAAACTTAAAGGATAATGTACTGGTAATTTTCTGCCAGGACAACTGCTGTTTTGGAGATCAGCATATTGATTAGTTAGAATTAAATTTAATTAGTTGATTCTGACTGGAACCTCTATTTTTGTGTGTGTGTGTGCTCTCTGATAATCATGTACTTTACATCTTCACAGATGACATACTTGCCACGGCCATCTGTGTGTTACCCTCACAGTGTACAGCCGTCTCCTCTCCAGCGCAGCTCGGATGATGATGACCCCGGCAGTCGCAGTCCTCCGTTAGAGGTGTCAGATGAGGAGTGTATGAGAGACCACATTACATCAACAACAGGAGGTGAGCATGGTAAGGACAAAAGCTAAGACCAATCTCACCTCATAAGGACACAACCATAGTGATCTTTGGAAAAGTAGCAATGCAAACCCAGTACCAGTTGACTTTTGCAATCTTCTAGAATCTAGATGTAGGTGTTCATTTCCTCTGATCCCTGCTGTTCTCCTTCCCTCTGTGTTGAATAGAGGCTTCAAAAACCCTTTGAAATGCCACTTCACCAATTCATGGAACATTTTCATGGAATCCTGAAATATATTAAGAGAAAAAAAGCTAGGAAACATACTACTATATAAGCATTTCAAGCCTATTTGCATTAGCAAATGTGTGTTTTAAAAAATAAAATATGATTTTATGATTAAGTAATTCACTCTCTCAGTCATTTACAGTGAAATTTTACCCACCCTTTTAATTGTACTGTACATAATTTTGTCATAATTGAGTTGTTAGATCTCTTACCCGTCCTTCTTTTGAGCAGATGTATGTAGACCATAACAACAACTTTCCTGCAGTCCAGTAGAAGAGGAACCAGTTTCAAGGCTGAAATCAAAGTAATGCCATGAGCAAATCAGTGCCAGTTTCCCATTGCCCAGATTCTCAATATCACCTTGCTCAAGTGGGCCCCTTGTTAAGCAATGAATCATTATATTCATTAAACAATTCTTTTTATTTTACTGTATTACAGTTATGTGATATTTTCACAAAGACCCATAATTAACTTGCATTGTTTTGTCAGATTTTTTTTAAAACTTGTATGTAAAAAAACAAAAATGTAAATATATTTTCAGTTGGCCCCTAACTGTGAATCATTTCACATGTGCTAGATAAAAACCTTAAAGGGATAGTTTAACCAAAAATGAAAGTTCCCAACCTGTAAGACTTTCTTTCTTCTATAGATTTTAAAATAAGATATTTTGAGAAATGTCTCAACAATACTGTTTGGTATTTTGAACATTCTTCAAAATATGTTTTGTGTTGACATTAGAAATAAATTCACACAGGTTTGGAATGACATGAGCGTGAGTAACTGATTATTTCATTAATAATAATCATTTATCAATAATAATTTCATAAGTAAATAATATTAATTTAAAAAGTGAAACAAAAGCATAAAGCAAATATAAAACAATAACCAATCAAATGTCTGATGGTTCACCTAGAAAGTGGTAGTTACATCAAACCACCATCTAGAAAGATTTTTCTCTCAAAGCTCTCTGTGCAAACGAGGCTTGTGAGGGAAACCAGAATGAGGCCAAGATGGTGAGAATGGAATAAAGAGACAATATACAGTCATGGCCAAAAGTTTTGGCAGTGACATAAATTTTGTGTTTTGCAAAGTTTGCTGCTTAAGCTGTTGTGGTGTTCATTTACATTGTTTCTAGATTATGGTGTAGAGTGATCAGATGCATTTTAAATAATTGCTAAAAGCTTCATTGGCCAAAAAAAAAATAAGAATTCCCACACAAAAAAACAAAACAAATTTCACTGTTTTTTGATCCTGACACAAAATTATCAGCTAACATTAATTGACTAATCATAGCAGCACACGTGAAAGTGTGAATGAGTAATAGTCAGGTGAAATCACTATCATACTAATTAGATTGTAAGAGCAGACTGATTGCTATAAAAGGAGGGAAGAAGCGCTTCCAATCATTGTGTTCTTGTTAGCAATGGTTACCTCCATAGAAACACATGCAGCCATCAAAATGGTTTCACATGCAAGGAAATTGCTACAAAGAATATAGCACCTGAAAGAACTTCAAGGAGAGAGGTCTGACTGCAGTGAAGAAGTCTTCAGGATGTCCCAGAGTGTCTAGCAAGCGCTAGGACCGTCTCCTCCTGAGGAGTCAGCCACGGAATTGTCACCAGCAGTGCAGAGCTTGCTCAGGAATGGCAGCAGGTTGGTGTGAGAGCATCTGCACGCACAGTGAGGCCAAGACTTTTGAACAACGGCCTGGTGTCAAGAAGGGCACCAAAAAAGCCACTTCTCTCCAAGAAAAACGTCAAGGACCGACTGAATTATGCAGGAAATACAAGGATTGGACAGCAGAAGACTGGTGGAAAGTTATTTTCTCTGATGAAGCTCCCTTCCGACTGTTTGGGACATCTGGAAAATCGATTGTTGGGAGAAGAAAAGGTGAACGCTACCATGCGTCCTGTGTTGTGTTGTGCTTTTCAACCAAGGGAGTGGCTCTCTCATAATTCTGCCCAAAAACACTGCAATGAATGATATCAAAATGTCCTGCAAGAGTGACTTCTTCCAATGATCCATGAGCAATTTGGTGATCCGTGCATTTTCCAGCATGATGGAGCACCATGTCACAAAGCAAGAGTAATAAAGAAGAGGCTCGAGGATCATTACATTGAAATTTTGGATCTGTGGCCAGGCAACTCCCCGGATCTCAATCCCATAGAGAACCTGTGGTCAGTCCTCAGAAGGCGAGTGGACAAGCAGAAGCCCACAGATCAACTCCGAGAACTAATAAGGCAAGAATGGATCGCCGTCAGTCAGGATTTGGCCCAGAAGCTAATATCCAGCATGCCAGAGCGAATTGCAGAGGTTATGAGGTTAAATATTGACTCATTATATATATATATATATATTTGCCAATAAAAGCCTTTAAAACTTTATGATATGCTTATTTTTTTTTCAGTATACCATAGATATGTGGGAAAATAATATACAAATACTGAAGCAGCAACCTTTGCAAAACACAAAATTGATGTCACTGCCAAAACTTTTGGCCATGACTGTATACCAAGTTTAGCATAACACTGTTTTGTATGGGAGGGCACAAAATAAATTAATATTCCAGAAGAACCATATGAAAGCATAAAAACATTACAGTAAAGTAGTTGCAATGGTCAGAAGACAACAGACTGAATCTAAAACCAAAACCAGTCCATCTAAACAAAGAAAATACACTTCCCTTGGCCAGCACATAAAGCACAAGAGTTCTCTGTATCAGTTACAACTAAACCTTCATGTGGGCAAGATGAATCCATAGCCCAGAATTTATCATCCTTTGTATGCACCAGGACTATATGTCCTCCATCATCAGAGTAAAACCTTAAAAATATTGTGTTTTTTCTTTTGTCTTGTGAACTGGCTGAGCCTTAATGATTCTGTTTCTTTACATGTATTTGTTTACTGACCGTTGCATGCAATCGTGAAATACAGCTTTTTTGTTAGTTTTTTTTAAATTGGCTATTCGTTGTGGGGGGGGGGTGAAGAAAAGGATTTCGGGTTTGGGTCGGGTTCGGGCTCTAAATTGAACTGTGCCGCTCAGGTCGGGTCGGGCTGGGTCAGACGATCTCGGGTACGGGTCGGGTTTGGGCTTCAGTTTAAAGCCTGTGCAGACCTGTAAACACTTTTTTTTTGTGTGTTTAATCTTATGGAGAAAAATCTCATTTTCAGATTTACTGTATGTGAATAGAGCAAACATTAAAGGTGTTTGGCCACATGGTGTGTCGATGATACAAGTCTGTGTAGATATGTTGTTTTTACATGCTATTACTGTAATGTGAAAATCAGCATATCTACACAGACGTGTATCATCGACACACCATGCGGCCGAACACCTTTATATATACACACACACACACACACATACACATGTATGTGTTCCTATGGCTCAGTGGTAGAGCATTGCGTTAGCAGCGCAAAAGGTAGTGGGTTCGATTCCCATGGAACACACATACTGGTAAAAAATGTATAGCCTGAATGCACTAAGTTGTGCATAAATTAAATTATTAAAATTGTATATGTGTGTGTGTATATATATTTTCATACCATTACATCCCTTATATATATATATATATATATTAGGGATGTAATGGTATGAAAATTTCTTATCACGATTATAGTGACCAAAATTATCACAGTAATCAGTATTATCATGGTATTGTTAAAATGTGCTGGAGATGTTCAAAAATTACACAGACATAAATCACTTTACCAAGTTCTATATTTAAAAAATCAACAAACAACAAATAAAATGACTTTTTGTTTGTATAATCACTAAAACAATAACATTACCAATGATGTTTGGATTTTAAATGACAATTTGACTGACAACAGTTTAATAGCATGTTCAAATATCTAATGTAAATGTTCAAATGAAAAAGTTTCATAAAAAAGTAAACCTCACATTTCAGCTTTTAAATAAAGAAAACGGTTAAGTCAAAATGATAATTGATTTATAAATTATTATATGTATCCCCTGTCTCTCAAGAGTAAAGTGTATGACAGCAAAGGCCTGTTGATCTCATGTGGAAGGGATCTGTGTGACTGTCTAGATGTAGACTGCATGGGTTGCTTCTACCCATGTCCTGAGTGCGGCTCACGGAAGTGTGGTGTTGAGTGCCGATGTGACCGGAAATGGTTGTATGAGCAGGTGGAGGTAGAGGGGGGAGAGATCATTCGCAACAAGTTTGCCAGTTAGCTACTGGAAGACCAAGAAGACGACACCACTTCTGCTTCTGAGCATAAAAGACTGTCACTGGCTTGGTATATGGACATTGCAGAAGTACTTGGTTCATTTGCTATATTGCTTATTTTTTGGCATTTAATAGTTTAATAAAGAATGTTGTCTTATGTTTTTTATTCTTCCATGTTATCACAGCTATGTTCATTTCTGTAATCTTTCCAGGACTTCCACGTTCTTTAGTTATGCTGTAATCCCCCCCTGAAATTTGTGTTTACACTTACAAAAATAAAATCTGAATATAAGCAGAGTGCACAGAGCTGATTCAAAGGTTTTACCAATATGATCTAACTTCAAATGCTGTGAACATTTGGGAAAATTTATCTATTGAGAGTTTTATCTGAATCACTCTATCTACACTATATCTTATGTAAAACATCAAGCATGACATGTAGCCATTGGTTGTATTTTATCATTATTTAATTTGTTTTTGAGTAAAAAAAAAAATAGCTCTTTAATTTACTAAACCAACTATGATGATATACAGAAACCTGTTGGTTCACTGCAGGGCACTTTAGTATTTGTTTGATGATATCATCTATTAG